GTTCCAACACTCATGAGGTCCAGTTGTTGGGTCGGGAAACCCGTTGCAGCTGATGATGGAGGAGTAAAAGGACACAGAAGCTTTGGGGGTTCGAGGGAGATCAGGGTCTGAGCGATTGACATAGAAAAGTCCAAATCTCTCTGTATAGCCAACAGCCCATTCCAGGTTGTCCAGCAGAGACCAAGCAGTGTAGCCAATAATATTGACATTGTCAAGCAGATAAGCTGCAGAAAACAGAAAATGTAATTAAGCACACAAGCTGGTAAAAGGTATTAATTTATGCAAGTTTTCAGGTTTGAACAACTGAAGAATGCTATAACAGATTTTATTGTAAACATGATTTTCTCTCATTTTAGATACTCTATATTCCACGAAGTTGTTTTAATACCTTTGAGCACTTGGTTGATGTACTGTTCATAATAGTATTTCCTGTGAACGTCATTGAGATCAACTGGCCCATTTTCAGAGACACCGTTCTCAGTGATGATAATCGGAGGATTTCTGTACTCATCCTTGATGAATTTCAGCAATCTTCGGAGACCAAATGGTGTCATCCTCAGCCAGACAGAACCTGTTTCCAACCAGGTCCGATCACTAATAACCACCACACCCCTGTGACAAGTGAATAATTATGTAATTTAGAGTTTAAATTAAAAACATGGACACTTTTTAAAAGAATATTTAGGAAAAATGTAATGAGCATATAGTCATGATTTCCACATGAAGTTAATTTTAAATTGCTTTGTGACAAAGCTAATGGCCTTACCTGTCTGCCTCAAAGTGTTGAGTAGTTCCAAAGTCTACAGGGAATGCCAAGACACTGCAGTAATGGTTTAATCCGAAGTAATCATAAGTGCCATTAATTCGCTTAATTTCCTCAGGAGTAAACTCAGGAAGCCTTAAGAAGAAAAATTTGAGAAGAAATTATATGAGAGAAAACATCAGTGGATGTAATAAGTTGAAAATAAAATTGAGAAGAATCTGCAGAGGGAGGCATTCGTTTGGCACAAACTATAGTCAAGGTATTTCAAGATGTACCCAAACATTTTACCTGGATTTTGTCAATCCACCTGCAAGACTTTGCTCTAGAACAGATTTCTTCACCAGTGGGCTGTAATCACCATTAAAAATGGGATGGACCCACCAGCCAAGATAAAACTGTGGACAGAGTTTGACACACAGCAATCGTCAACTACATCACCACACAAGGTTTTGTGTTATACAATCACAGGACAATGTATACCTCAACCACGTTTCGCGCAGCTTCATAGTCCTCTTGCTTGTAGGGGTTTCTGGGTTCTGCCCAGTCTGAGTTTACAGTGATGGAGACCAGTCCTCCCTGTGAGGCTCTGTATTTGTCATTGTAGACATGCCAGGCCTCTGCATGGGATCTGATTATGTTGTGGCCTACAATGTATGGAAGAGTATCTGGTCTGTCGTTGAAACCTGGAAAATATAAAATTAAATATGGTGATACAGAGTTTATCATGCAAGTATAATTAAATATACATGTTTGAAAATGCAGCCTATTTTCTTCCTTAGACTTATGGACTTTAGTCAATGCAAAACTCCTGACATCTACCATGCTTAGCATAAAGTATAATTCCAGTTAAAAATACCTTACATACCTGGGGCATGTGCACCTTGGACATGGCCTAATACAGTTATTATGAAGGGCTCGTTAAAAGTGATCCAAAGTTTCACTTTGGGACCAAGATTTTGAAAGAGGACATCCGCATAATCCCTGAATCGTTGAATGATGGTCTCATTTTCCCAACCTCCAACATCCTGCAGAGCTTGTGGGAGATCCCAGTGGTACAAAGTGACCTGATCCAAAAGAAAAACAGTTCGTAAAAAAGGTAAAACATTTTTCCGAATGATTATTTTTGAGAAATACTTACTTGAGGATTAATGTTTGCTGCAATGAGGGAATCCACCAGTTTTTTGTAGTAATTTAGACCAGCCTGATTGATGTATTTGGTAGTACCGTCAGGCAGGATCCGTGGCCAGGATATGGAGAAGCGATAGTGAGACACCTTGACTTTCTTCAGCGCAGCAATGTCATCTTCCATCCTATTGTAACTGTTACAAGCCACATCCCCAGTGTCATGCTCAGATATTTTTCCAGGGGTGTGTGTAAACTTGTCCCAGATACTGAGACCTTTTCCATCTTCTCTCCATGCCCCTTCAATCTGGAAAGAGGAAAATCGGATAAGAGGTTATGTATAATTTCTTGTTGCTGGACTTTTGGAGGAAATGTCTTTTTTTTTCCACAGAAGGAGCTAAAAAACAAGGACTTAAACTGAAAAACTTAAATTAATCGATTTCATTTAATTTTTTTTTTAAAATATTAACCATTATTTGTTATTTTTGTAAAAACAATAGAAATGAAAAATATAAAATTAAAACTATTGTTGACCATAGCTGTTTAAATCTCACATTTTTTCAGTTGAACTAACAACTGAGGGAAGAAACTAAAGTATTTTGGGTATTGAAGGATAGATTTTGTTCATGTCGCCAATTGAAACCAGAGATTAAGACATCGGCACATACCAGGAGGCCTGAATGATTTTAACAGGAAGTTGCTCTGTTTTGTAAGTCTGGGATTTGACTGCATTGTCCAACAGGAACAAAAACTGTTTCAGTAACTAAGGCTGATCTCACTTTGAGCTGATAAATGGGTATCTCAATCACTTTAAACTGTAAACACTGACATGTTTGCATTTGGTTTGGAATAGTAGTACAGCCATTAGAACAAAGAGATGTTTTGACTTTCCCTTTGGCCCTAATATTAAATGTTAGTCCAAAGCTAAAACATGGAACAAAATGTCATCAATTATAGCTCATACAGAAAAATTGGAACTGATTTTTTTAAAAATTTATTTTGCAACATACTAACTCTTCTGTAGCAATTTTCATTAAATAACAAATATGTTAGCCATGACCAAACATCTTGCTGAAACCACCTGAGCGCAAAATCAGTTTGTGGATTTAACTTGACCTTAACTTAGATTGATCTGAAAATAAATGATCAAAACATTTGGATTATATTTGTCATGTAAGCTTTTTTACCTGGTATGATGCTGTTGCACTACTCCAAATGAAATCCTTTTTGAATTCTCCATATATCATCTTTTCATCTTCTGGCAACGGGAAACCATTGTCTTTGATAATATTGTAGTAGAAATGAGCCGAAAACTTAGGTGTTCTGGGTCGGTTTGGGTTATTGAAGTCTACGTGGTGCAGACCATACCCAAAGAGGTAGCCATAAAGGAACTGAAAAGAATCCATGAGATATGTTGCATAGCCTTTTACCTTGACTCCATCTAGTTCATAGGCTGTTAAGATAGACATAAGACAATAAACAGAAATTAGTTGCGAATGATATTGAAATATACAAAATATGTTTGTTAATGTTTGTTTATAGTATTGCACCTTTAAGAGCCTCATCAATGTAGGTTTTGTGAAGGAAAACTCTGTCAATTTCATCATAAGCCCATTCCCTGGGAGTGGCAACTGAATTTTCAGTAATGTAAATATCTGGATCTCCATATTCTGCCTTGATCCAGTTGAGGAGCCTTCTCATGCCAAATGATACAGCTCTTGTGAATCCAATTGGTGTAGTCGGTTGATCAAGTATCTCTTCTTCTTGATAGTCCCAGTCACTTAGATAAGATGCTGGAGAAAGTGCACCTGTAACATGGGTTACTAGCCTGGAGGTGTAGTGATTGGCACAGAACATGTCAGCAGTTCCTTTGATCAAGTTCTTTTCCTCGTCTGTGAAAGATGGGAGTCTTGACTGTTTAAGACCTTGAAGTTCACTTTTGACCAAAACTTGGGCTTTCAAGGCCTCTGGATAGTCCCCATTCTTGAAGATTGGGTGGGCAAACCAACCCACATTGAACTGCATTGCACGGTCAGCAGCAACAAGATCACGAGGGACATTAATATCTTTAGGTTCAACCCATTCAGCATTGAGGGCAATGGAAACCATCCCTCCTTGAGAAGCGCGGTATTTGTCATCATACGTGTGGTATGCTGTAGCGTGAGCTTTTATTAAGTTATGTGCAACTTGGTATGGTGCTGTTCCTGGCTCCCTAATTTTTGGAGGAATTCGTCCAGTCCCATATCCTAGCCATGCAAGTCCTTGAGGGTCATTCATGGTCATCCAGAATTTTACTCTGTCACCAAAGGTGGCAAAGCAGAAGTCACAATAATCATTAAAAATGTCAATCATCTGCACATTCTGCCAGCCACCAATGTCTTGTAGAGCTTGCGGGAGGTCCCAGTGATAAATTGTGACCATTGGGGTGATTTGTCTGGCCAAGAGGCCATCAATAAGTCTGTTGTAATAATCAATACCCTTTTGGTTCAGGGATGCACGTCTACCATTGGGAAAGATTCTAGACCATGACAGAGAAAATCTGTATGACTTCACTTTCAAGGCTTGCAGCATGTAAAGGTCTTCATCAAGTCTATTGTAACTGTCACAGGCATCATTTCCATTCACATCTTCAGGAATACCACTACCTGGGTTATTACTGACTACATCCCATACACTGGGTCCTTTCCCATCCTGGTTATATCCACCCTCAATCTGGTAAGCTGAAGATGAGACGCCCCATAAGAAGTCTTGTGAGAAATGACCATAGTGATACATTTGTCTGTCTAACCTTTTCTGTGGTGTGAATTTTTCCCAGACAGCCTTTGATGCTGATGGGACCTCTGAGGGTGGCAGTGGGGTGGAGCGGCGAGGTGGTGATATTTTCACACCTTCAAAATAATCTTGTTTGCGTGAAACAAAACCATTTTGCTCAATGATCTGAGCAAAAAAATATGCTGATTGTTTTGGTGTCCTCGGTCTGTATCCATCTACAAAATTAACCTGGTGAAGTCCAAATCTTTCACTGTACCCTTTATTTCCCTCAAATCCATCCATAAGTGATTGCACTGTGAATCGCTGCACATCCACTTTATCGGTTTCAATGGCTGTAGAATGAAAACAGAAGACAATATTAAAAAGTTATGGTTGGTTTCTTTCTGCTAAGCTATGGCAAATAATACAGAAATTACAAGCACTAACCTTTTAGGGCCTCACTGATGTAACCCCTCATGTACTCTATTCTGCTAACATCATTCAGGGTGTCTCCACTGTCATTTGTTGGCATGCCATTCCCAGTTATGTAAATGGGCACATTGTTAACGGCTAGATATTTTGTTTTAATGTGAGTCAGAAGAGACCGTAGCCCCTCCGGCATGGAGTAGATCCAGTCTGATGCTGTAGCAGGCCATGAGGGGTCCACTTTTGCCTGGAAGTCTCCAACTCCTTCAGGACCAGGGGTGCACCCACCTACACTGCTGCTCACTAAACGGGAGGTATAATGATTCAGACCAAAAAAGTCAGAAGTTCCTTTGATCCTTGCCTTCTCTTCTTCAGTGAAAGATGGAAGCACTGCTGGTGCAGATGACGGACACTCGTTTCTTTTCTTTTCTATCTGTGTTTTGAGAACTTCAGGATAATCCCCATCTATGAAGATAGGATGGGCAAACCAGCCTAGCATAAACTCAAGGTAGCGCTCTGCAGCTTCCTTATCTTCAGGTTTGTTAGGATCAGCTGCCTCTGCCCAGTCAGAGTTTAGTGCAATGCCCACTTTCCCTCCCTGTGTCTTTCTGTAATTGTCATTGTAGACATGCCAGGCTTCAGCATGGGATTTCAGTATATTATGAGTGACCTGTAGAAATAAGAATTAAAAAGTGAAGGGTTAAAGCCTAAGCAAAATTTAGACATGTTTAAAAGATTTTGATGTGGTGATACCACTATGTTTACCTGATAAGAAGCAGTCACATAGTCTTTTATTCCAGGAGCATGCTCACCAGTCCCATGTCCAGCATGGCTCACCACCCAGGGACTACTGAATGTGTTCCAGCTCTTGACCCTGTCTCCATATCTATGGAAGCAGAAGGCTGCATAGTCTTTGTAAGCTGCAACAATGGACGGGTTGGTCCATCCACCCTTGTCTTGGAGAGCCTGAGGCAGATCCCAATGGTAGATAGTGGCAACAGGCTGTATGCCAGATTCAATAAGAGCATTGATCAGATTGTCATAGTAGAGAGCTCCTTCTTCATTCAGGCTGTCTTTCTGACCTGAGGGGAATATACGGGCCCAGGAAATGGAGAACTGGTAGGTGTTGACTCCAAGACCTCGCAGGAGGTAGACATCTATATCGACCTTCCTGTAGCTGTCAGCAGCTGTGTCAGCAGTATGATTATTAAAGGCTTGGTTTTCATGACCAAAGCGATCCCAGATGGTTTCGCCTTTCCCTTCTGCTGCCCATGCACCTTCAACCTTGAAAGACTCTGTGGATGTAGCCCATTGGAAGCCAGCAGGGAATGCTTTAGTGAGAGCATCTCTCTCTCCACTGCTTAAAAACAGACATCAAATATAAATAAAAATGAAAAAGCAGTCAATGTATGTGTTACTTAAACAAGTCTTACCTTTCACTGCTGGAGGTTCTCAGCTCGGGTTTTGCCAGGGAGCCTGCAAGATGCACAACGTCATCCTGTCTTTTCACCCCCCTACCTTGACTTCCAAGGATGCACAGAAAATACAAACACCCCAGCCACAATAGCTTCTGCATCATGACCCAAATAGGATGCACTGAGGATTTTCTCTGATTGGACAGCTATTTAAAGAATAAAGCTCCTCCTTTTTGGCATTTTCTCTATGGCTGTTATGATGGTTATGAAACCCAGTTTATCAAATTTTACTGTTTTATTGCACATGTCTGATATCCTCAGGAACACTATGGACTCACACGTGTAAAAAACAGCCTCCTTATCATATAACCATGGTTACTTTTATGGTGAACAGTACTTGTCAATATGAATGTTTCGGAAGGAGCGTAGTACACTTCACTAAAGATTAGCGTTATAGAACCATCAGTGTGGAAGTGAAACTTCCACATACATTATGCAGGTTCACAATTACTGGATTTAATTTTTTTTAGAATCAGCTTTAAGTACATTGTCTTTCTGTTTGAAAACATTACAAATACACATTTAAATATTGTCACTTCCCGCTCTTTTCTGTATGTAAACACCACCTTAGATAAGTAGTTGTATAGCATGTTTGTTTTGTCCAATACTAGACAAAAAACAAACAAAAAACATTTGAAAACGTCTTTTGCATTGTAACTTAAAGCAATGTTTTCATTACCTTTTTTATAGCAATAATTGTATGATTTAGCTCTGGCATTTTTCTGAATTATCACCTTGTTTTTTCATCTTCCTCACCCTTTTTATTTGATTTTTGCAGTCAGGGATTATTGTCTTTTTTCATGTTTGAGCCAAGCCACTTTGAAAGGCATCAGCCCTTTCAGCCATGTGCTATAGTTCATAATGTATAGTTCATATAGGGTAGTATGACTTTGTCAAGGATAAGTGGATGTAGGCAATGAATAGATGTTTTGAAAATAGTCTCGAGGTTTAGTCTTTTCAGATTTGCAAACATACCCTAAGAAAAGTATACAGTTTCTGCTTTACCATTATCCATTTACTTTTATTATAGTTTAGAATATTTCCGATGACTGCTGTGTCTTGTGATGTAGCTCACATGTTTTAGGCTGGGTTGTTTTTAAGCAACTCATGGTCTGATTTTAAGTTGAATCAACCTCAAGAGGAAGGTTTATACTATCAATATAATGATACTATTTTTCCTCCTTGTATACACATGGTAATAGTTTTATTAACTTTTACACATCAGTCCATCTAATATTTGCTAAAGTTGAATAAACCATTGATTTCATTTACAACTCCTAGCAGCTTTTTAACATTTTCTTTATCACCTCCCATTTTGGGATTCTTTAAAGGCAATGAAATAGATTTGTCATTCATTATGGATTTAATATTTTGCTTCATTTACTTGACTTGTAAGACATCTGTGATGTGCATAAGGGATTTAAAAATAAAATATTCGGATATCCTATTGTCCATGAGGGGCCGAATGCACTATGAACATTTCAGGTATGAACCACACAGATCTGCTTACCTGATGCTCCCAGGAACTAAGCTTGGAACCAACTGAATGAAAACCTATAATTATGTTCTGAAATCATTGGTAATTTTAAATCAGGTATACAAATCTCAGTGTTTACCGCCTATTTCCTATAAATGACAGTTTTATCTGCTGACCTATGTTCTATTAGATGTAGAAAAAAATAGCAATTGTCCATATTTCTTCTGTAGGAAAAAATGTATAAGAATACCTAATGTAGGCCATAGACCACAGGAGTTGAGTAGAGTGGACTGTTAGCACTGATGTAGTCATGGTCAGTTTCCTCGATTATGATTGGCTTTATCCCCAGGAGTGGCAATAAGGAAGACTGTGGATTTTATCCTCTGCATTGTTGCCAAGATAGTTTTCACTGTTCATGTTGGTGCATATTAAGAAATATTTTATATCTTAACTGTTAAAAGAGGCAGGTATAAGTGTTTTTCAAGGTGGTCTAAGGTACTGGTGAAAAATAATGTTCACTTTAGTATGAATGTGGAGGACAGAAATAACGCATAAGACATCCAATTCCCACTTATTTTTACTTTTTATGAATGTACTAGAGTTTGCACTGGAGCACAGCTAGGTATGAAAGGACTTTAGAAAAATGGAAAATTTTAAACTATTTAAAATTACTGCTTTTAAATAGTGCCAGCTTGCAGGAAACACAAGCTGGCACAAGTTGTGAAATATGGAAATTTTGTATTCTGTATGTCTAAATACATTAGTTTTATTATTTTAATCTTGTCAACAATATGCTGGGCAGAGTAACCGTTTCCCAATGCTAATTTGATGAATGTAAAGGGTATTTCGATGTGAAAATAAGCCAGCCCATTACCCTATTCTATTAAGTACGTAGGTTATCTCTTGCAGAGCAAAACGTGAACACATTTCACATGTTCTAACAACACTGGCTAATAAGTGCGGAAAAATAACTTCCCATTTACTGCCGTCAGGCTGTGATAAAGCCTCACATGTCTTTGTGAAAAACATTTTAAAAACTGTTTAGTCTACCTTTATGCTCAAACAGGGACTCAATGAAAATGTACCCGTGAGCTTTTACACGTCATTACTAAGAGAAACTTTCCAACATATAGATATCTTCACTAACTCAGGCTCCTTATAACAATGTTTTTTATTTACTTGAGTTATGCCTTCTGTGATTAACCAAAACCAAACACTTAACACCTATTCTAGAAAAATAATTTTGGTATAATTTTTTTTGTTTTTACATACGTTTATTTGATTACTTGGCTGTAATCAGTATGGTAAGGTCAAACTTTAAAGGATTTTGTTATCTTGTTTGCGTAAAGATTGTTTCCTTGTTGCCTGTGTTCATTAGCAAGAGTAATAAAGGCAGTATTTTATAAGTATGATAATATTTTTCATAACATTTTACTACAGACCCAAAGTTCACTGTAACTGAGATAAAAGTGACACAGCCCAAGAGACTTTGATTTATTGACTCAGATTTCGAAAAAGAAATGTTTAATTAGATTTATTTAACACGTTTTGAAATTTATAGCAGGACGGTGTTTTTTTTAAAGTCTAAGAATTTTCTAACACTTTGCAAATTAAACAAACTCACTATGAACAGTGAAAATATTGTTTGAGAGGACTTGGGCTAAAAAAGAATATCTCTCTAGCACAAATGCAACATACCAACAGATACTCAAATATTTACCGAACTAAGATCTGGGATCATGGAATCAAGCAAACACATTAATTACATTTATCTAGATATAAGCATTTTTCCCCACTTGTAAAATGCTTTAGGAAGAACATGAATTTACATCTTAATAATGAAGCTAAAATTATGAAACTTTTTTTTTTTCAAATGTCCTAAAATTCTCAGCAAAGTGTAAAGAAAAAAATATTTACTACTTTAGTTTTCAATGGACACTGATGATAAGACAAATCTACTTACAAAGTTGTAAATTGAGTCACAATTTGAATTGAATGCCTTTATGGTCATTGTCTGGTTGACATACAGTGAATTTGATTCTCCAATGAAAGGGATTGTTGTCTTTCTCACTCTCACTTTAAGACACACACACTTAAACAATGGAGTAAAAATATAACTTAGGTATAGGAATAAATCACGAGTAAAGTGCAACTTTTACTACGAGGAATCCACAATACCTGATGAATGGAGAGCCATTCCCATTGGATCTTATGCTGCTTTAACTGCCACTCATGGAGGTTGACATGTTATCCAAATGAAAGCAGCAAGTGATCATCATGTAGCATAACAGCAGATCACTAAGAAGGGTTTAGTTTAATTTAAGTTACAGGTGGACTTGCACTGTTTACTTGAGAATCAGATGGATAGTTTTAGTTTGGAGGGTGCAGAGGTCTACAAGGTTTCTTTTCAATGTGAACTTAGACTTAATAAGGGGCAACAGTTCCTCAGGAATTAAACGATCTGCTAATGATTGCCATCATACCCTTCTGAATTATGAGCATATTGAATCAGCTTAAGATTCCCAGCCCTCCATTGTACACAAATATTGTTGTGGATGAAACATTGACAGTTAGATCACTTGGAACTGAACAATTCCATGCTGCACATTAGGAACTTGAACAAAGTTCGATACTCCTTTTTGGGGAGGCCAATGAAAAATCTGAGGTGTATCTTCATGCTAAATGTTGTAATATTTCATGGAGAAAGAGCTTCAGCCTTTGCTATAAATGCAATATTGCGCAGACAGCAGATAAATGGTTCAGGTGTAGCAGACATGCCAACAGTTTTTGTGAGAACCTTTACTGGTAATGTAACCTATTGGTTTCCAACCTCTTTCGTGGATTGCTCCAATTCTTGCACCTACACAAATTCTTGTTTATTGTTAAAACCATTTTAAAAATGTTTCTTTTGTATTTAACCTGAAAACTAAATAGAGGATGTATTTAGTGCTCAGGCCTACTTAGTGTAAAATCAGTAAATCAGCACTCCTTTATAATTCCTGTTTAAATGACACAGGAAACTGGTTCTGAATAAGGCACTTGATTGGATTTTCTAGTAATTTTCTTAATTTCGTCCACAATGTTTTATTTGGGATGTTTCGTCTTAGTTTCCTTTTAGCTATATGACTCTTTTCTAATAATAGAACTCTGCGGGTGTCTTAATAATTATTTGTGAATGGGACATGTCTCTCACAATTGAAAATGATTTGTTTGGACCTTCCCGATATTTACAATAAAATAATAATATTGTAAATAACATTTACAATATTTTGAACATTGGGAATGAGGAAAATGGGCTCTTGATAGAATCATTTTACCTGTAAAATTCCTCTCCTGGCTCTTCTAGTTACCAACAACTCCTCACTGCACAGTATGCTGTTAATGATAAATACATGATATCATCTTACAGGTGGTTACAGTTGTATTGTGTGCTGAATATGGCCCATGATAACTTAATCACAAGATTTAAAGGTCATAAGGGAGATAAAATAATGCACTGTATCAGAAGGGCCATAAATTACAAACTGAATTAAATTTGCTCAGAGAGATAATCAGTGGGGAGAGGACAGCAATATTTATATCTCCTGCTGCATTCAGCTTCTGATTAAAGGTCATAAACGTAAAACAAACCTCAAAAAACTAAGTCTTGGTTTGGGCTACAAGATCTAT